TCCTGGAAATTTAACTGAAATGGCACTTAAAATGCGAACCGGGGCTAAAATAATATCTGAACATAAACCGGGGCTGAAAATACTAAGCACATGCTGAACCGGTCTAAACTAGTTAGCTCTCGGTCTGGACCGGTCTGACAGAACCATTGGCTCGGTCACTCACTCACTGGGCACGGTCTGTGCACTGCCGGCGCTGCTGGCGCTGGCTGGCTTGTCTCGTGCTCTGGCAGGTGCTACTGGCACCATGCGTGTGCTGGGGAAGGCTATCGGCGTGCTGCTATGCACGGCCGATGGCTACTGGATGCTGACCATGCACGGCTGGCCACTGCCGTACTTGCTGGTTACAGTACTGGCATGTGCCATCACGGACGGGCGCTGTTGGGCGCCGCAACTGGCTATTGGATACGCGGGCAACACCACTTGCGAGTGTTGGCGCGATTAGGCCCTCAACCCTGCTTGTCGGGCACTGGCTGAGGCCGTACTGACAAGCTGGCGTGCTGTCAGGCGCGCTGGCGTGCGTACGGTGGTGTAGTACACACTGTTGGGCGTGCACTGCACACCTACATACATTACTAAGACTTGACTGCGAAGTACTGGTCATGCGAGCGCCCTACTGGGCGTGCTAGTGCTGCCAGTATATCCGCTATGACTGCCGGCGTGCTGTGCGCACACTTGCACGGACAGACACTACGGTCGGCCTTTCGCCGGCCGTCCGGCAACTTCTTCCAGCAACCCAAACATGAATACACATAACTTATGACATGATAATATATGCTAAACTTGTTGAAATACCATAAACTTCGCTGAGTGAACTAACATAGCATCGAGGTGTGCACCCCGCGTGCACATGTTCAGCGTTAAGCCAAAACCCCCGAGTAAACATGATTTTTTCTCGAACCACCACAAAAGACTGATCATAATATGTTATATAATGGTTAAATAAACACAAGTTACTCGGCAAATATGATCCTACTGAAAAATAACTTGATATCATGTTTGTTGGCTCACGGGCGGCGCTATGTGCGCAGCCCATGTCCTTAAGCCAATTTATCGGCCAGACCAGTAATTTCCTCAGCAAACATGAGTCACATGAACATAATATACTGAATAATGACTAAATAAACAATAAACACTCAGGAGTTGCCGGATAAATCTCAACTTAACTTGGTAAGGACCAACATGGCCTAAACCGAGTACCCCTTAGCATTTAACATGAATTTAGGGACATGAACTGAACATTTAATCAAAGCCTA